GGGCCAAATGTAATTAGGCTGCGGGCCAGAGTTTGACACCTATGCTCTATGTGTAGCTTGCATATTTCCCCAGTGTGTTTGCAGCTTCTCTCCAGGGACTCCAACAGTCCAAAGACATGCATATTCTTCTCGTTTCTAAAATTGTCTGTAAGTGTGAATGTGAGCACGAGTGTGTTTCTCTGTGGCGGCCTGTCCACAGTGTCCCAGCCTTTCTGTAGCCCTGTAGTAGATCAGTGGGAGAAACTGGATGGATGGCTTTTCTTGCCACCAACAGTGGTTAAAATGATGCTGCATTGTTTGAACCTTTCGTTTATGATCCCCGGACAGACCACATGACCCCATCTTGTGCTTCCTACACACCTGGATTTCCCTCACAATAAGATGGAAAATCACCTGCACACCCCGTCCACTTATTTCCCAACATCCTCCTCCAACCTTTACAGTGTTCTCTGGTGAACCTGAAAGCACCTGCCCAAGCGCACTAGATCAGCTTTTATAATCAAAGCATCGTATCATCATATAATATATTTAACAGTTAAGCTGGAAGTGGTATAACTGTAAAGTTGGGAACGTTTAGGAACAACACAGCCAAAAGTGTCAGAGCATGTAAAGTGGCATCTAATGCATAAAAACCTCCTCTGGCATTAACATCAGTACAGAAACAGCCCACCGTGGGTGTTCATGGCCACCTATGGCCACTCCCCTCTCCATGTGCTGTGATTTAAGGCTCACTCTGGTTTTTACTGCTGGGATAATGTGTCAAGTGAACAAAAAGACAAATGTTGCATCTTCTAAAATATAATCCCCCTTTCTGTTGTGCTGATTGTAGTTAAATCTCTGGTTTTGACTTTTCCAGTGGAGTCCAGTGGAGCTGAGGCTGTTGACTCCAGTAAAGACATGATGACGAAGAATCAAAAAGGCAGGAAGAGAGAAGCAGCCAGTAAGAGAATACGGGATGTGGGACACAAGATAAAACGTGTCTTCATTTATGGGTAAGTCCAAAATGAAAGCTGCTCCTGATGATCTCTTAAGAAAATGTATCATTGTGCTTCTTGTGTTAATGAGTAATATTAAGAAGGTGCAGTGACTTAATGCGAGCTGATTTCTCTGCAGGATTCAGAGTGTTTACAGGCCAGCTCAGGGTTTCTTCAGGGATATTCTGCACTCTGAGTACCGGGCTGCCACCGACGTCTATGCACTCATGTTCCTGACCGACGTCATTGATTTCATCATCATCGTCTTTGGCTTTTGGGCTTTTGGGGTGAGACACGAGCTCGTCATTGTGTGACTAACGGTAATATACAGAAACGAAAACTACAAAGAGATCAAAAAGATAA